AGCCCGGAAGCCAGGAGGAAGATGGCGCGCGCCTGCAAGCTTCCAGCCCCGAGCTCCACAGCTCCCGATTCTGGGCCCTGCCCGGGGTCCAGCTCAGGACACGTCTGAGAGGCTCCCGGGCTCCCTGCGTGCCCCCCACCCGGGTCTTCGGGTGCAGGCGTAGGGCTGGTGCTGCCCTGTGGCTAGACCTGGACCAGCGCCCAAGGGCTGGCCCCTGCTGGGCCTCTCCAGCCCTCCGCTGTGCCCCGCGGGGACCCCCAGGCCCTCCCTGCTGGAGCCCCGTTCTGGGGTGGGGGGAGCGCCCTACCCAGCATTGTGCTGCGTCGATATTTATAGAAAAGACCCAACAAGGTCCCGCTGGTTTTCCCAACACGGGAAGCGCCCCACTGCCCACGGCCAGCCTCCAGCGCCTCTTGTCTGCGTGGAGATGAGAAAAGGTTCTCGTAAAGTTAATTTCCCCGAAGGCCCCGTATCACTCCTCCCCTGTCTGAAGAGGGGCCGCCGCTGTGCTGGGGGAGTAAGGTGCGGAGCCTGTGCGGGTCCGGCCCCTCGGGAGGGCCTCGGGAGTGCAGCGTGGCTGTTGTGAGAGTGTCCCGAGCCAAGCCGGTGCCGAGTGCCATGTGTGTGGCCACCCAGGCTGTGCGTGTGAACGCCTGCTGGACCAGTGCCCGTTCACTGAGTGAGCATTCACGTGTAGACCACGTGTGTCCCACTGCTGCCTCCGCTGGCACTCCACCCCACCCTCCCCTCTTGCAGCCCCCAGGCGTTCACCCCGCCTCCCGTCACCCCCGGGCCCTCGCCCTCCCTCTGTCCCAGTTACTTGGCGCAGCCCCTTCAGCTCCAGAGCTGCTCCCCGCGAGCTCAGTGGCCACTCTGCCTGACGTGAACTAGGAGACCAGCTCGTTCTCTGAGCAAACAGCAGGACTCACAGGGCGACAGGCAAGAGGGGAATGTCCTGGGACCAGGCCGGAGCTGAGAGGGAGGGGTGAGGAGCCCAGAGGGGCAGCAGGGCCTCCTGCCCTGCTCCCCAGAGGAGGTCCCATGAAGCACCCCCAGGCCTGGCAGAGTGGCTGGTCTAAGGCCGGGGGAGGGAAGTGGGGGTAAGGAGGCAGCCAGGTTCAGGAAGGCGACGTGGCCCCCACTCCCACCAGCCGGACTCGGCTGCAGGACCCTGGCTTATCTCCTGCCTGGGCCTAAGTCCTGCACCCAGACCTCCGTGCCAGGGGGCGGGAGGGAGCTGGATACTTCCTGTCTGGTGATGGATAGGAGGGCCTACAGGGTCCCATCCCCGAGGCACCCAGAACACCCCTCTCTGCACCTGGGGGGCCGTCAAGAGCATGGTCCCTCCTCAGCCTCCCACCCACCTTGAAACTTGGGGGGGGGCCAGGCCCTGTCCCTTGCAGGGTGTGGTTGCCCCTTCTGTCCTGTGTGAGCCTGAAACCAGGTGATGAGCTGAGTCAAGGTCCTCCCTGCCCCCAGAACTCCCCTTGGACCTGCACTGCTGACCTGCACCCCCGCCTCCCACCTTCTCCTGCCCGGATAGCCTCTACGGGCCTGGCTGGTGGGGGGAAGCCCAAACCTGGGTCCTCTTCTCTGCCTGGGGAGCCCTCAGCTGGCCTGCACAGCCCAGTCCCATGCCTCTCCGGAAACAGGCCCGGGGCTGGGGCTGTCACTGTCTGCCCCCACGACTCCCTGAGCCAGAGAACAAGGCAGGGTGTCTTATTAGAGCCCAGAGAAGAGCCCAGCATCCCCCGAGGCTCCCCTGCAGGACCTCAGCCTCAGCAGGCTTAGCCTGAGGAGGGGGCGGGGGCTCAGGGAGGACTGAGCAAGGGGCAGGGAGGAACAGAGGGGCTTCCTAGTGCTCAGTGACCCCCAGGGATGGGGAGACCCTGTGGAACTCTTAGCTGAAGCGGGGCTTGCAGACAGCCCTGCCCCGGCTCGGGGTGGGAGGAGAGAGCCCCTCCCCCTCACTCCCAGGGCACCGTTGACCCTGCGCCCACCTCTGGCTGAGGGTCTTGGTGGCCTTGACCTGGCACTGCATCCAGAGGGTTGAGCTTCAGTGTCCACCTGTGCTTTGTCCCGCGGCCCAGGGTAGGTCACACCACCAGCTCCATCAAGGCGGCGGCCGGGCACATCCCCCTGTGCAGTTGCTCAGTATTTCACGGCGAGGGACTTGGAAATGGTGTTGCTAGCCCATGAGTTCATGTCAGTGTGACTCGTGGGCTTCTGCTCACTTCAGTCAGTCACAGTCTGACACTGTCGCCATTTGGTGATGGAATTGTCTTGGATTTGGCCTCTCCAGCTGGCTCATAGGCTGGCTCACGGGGGAGCTGACTGTCCTGTCATGCTCTGAGCACTTGGCGTGTTCCCAGCTCACCCCAGGCCTCCCCTGCCCCTGGAATCAGCCATTTCTCCAACGAGCCGGGTTCTTTTCCTCAGAGGACGTTAGATGCCAAGTTCAGGGTGCTAGGTGTGCTCATTGCTGCTGGGGTGCTGCTGTCCCAGGCCATCTTGGAGGGCAGAGCTGGCTGTGTGTTCTGAAAATCACGACTGCCCACTGACACCTCTCGCTCTAGGCATCCTGGCTGGCTCCCCCACCCACAGCTGTAGCTCCTCGTGGGACCAGCCCACCTGTGTGTGCCAGACCCCCATCTCTGCCACTACTCCCTCCCTGTGGCTGCCCTAGGTCCCGAGTCTCCGTTCCAGGCCTGTCCCCTGAATGGATGCTGCCCTCTGACGGCTTGGCTCTGTCGCCTTGCTGGGCCACCCCTCCCCACCTACTAGAGCTGTGACGCTCTGGGTTTTCATGAATTTGGAAGAGAGCGAAAACAGAGCCAGGCAGCCTCCGGTGCAGGGAGGCGTCCAGGCTGTGCTGAGATGCAGGCTGACATCGAGCCTCTGCCTGAGGGGCAGTGTGGGGCCCGCCGCCCACACACACGCTGACCCTCTTGTCCTCCGCAGAGGAGGAGCATGTGCTGGCCTTCAACCTGCAGCGCCTGGCCACGCTGGCCTCAGCCTGGTCCCTGGTGGAGGCCGCTGGCCTGGACAGCCCTGCTGTCTCAGCCCCGCCCTCCCCGCTGGCCCCTGCAGGGCTCCCACGCTCACCCCCCGCATGCAGATCCTGCAGCGCAAGGACACCTGGATCCCCAAGACCAAGCCTGTGAGTGGGGGGCTTTGGTCACCCCCATTGCCTGTTGCCATCCTGGGGGGCCTCCCCCATCATGCCCCCACTGGGCTCACAGGCCCCTGTGCCCCTGCCTGCTAGGTGTGCCCACTGAAGGCAGCCATCGACCGGCTGGACACGCAGGAGGTGGAGATGCGAGTGCAGCTGGCGGAGCTGCAGAGGCGCTTCAAGGAGAAGCAGCGGGAGCTGGCCCGGCTGCAGCGCAGGCACGACCGCGAGTACGGCCCCAGCTGGCGGCAGGGCTGGGGTTCGGGGCAGGTGCCAGTCCGGCCCAGCCCGAGGCCATGGAATTGACCCGTGTGTGCTGGGCTGAGCTGGGCCAAAGGCGCAGATCTGGGAGGGTCCCCAGAGGCAGTGGAAGGATGAGGTGTTCGCCCAGCAGGAGAAGCAAACTGACAGGGAGGGGAGCGTGGGGGATGTGGTGGGGAAGAGGCTGGGAAGCCAGGGCAGGAGTTGGGGCTTTGGCGGGGCAGAGGGAACCTCTGAAGTTGCCTTAGCTGCAGTGCGAGCTTCCCTGACTGGCGTGTGCAGGACTGCTGCAGGGATGGAGGGGGCAGGGGGGACCATGGCTCAGCCTTGCCCTCCATTTAGGGGCCAGGCTCCCCATGCCAAGTCTTGGGAGGGCCTGGACCCCTGTCAGGGAGCCAGGGCAGGCGTCAGCCTCTGACCACCCCTCCTGCGGCCCCCAGGAGAGATGACAGCTCTCGGAGCCCTGCCAGGCGTGGGCCCGGCCGGCCACGGAAGCGCAAATACTCCAGCTTGCTGCCTGCCCTGCGCCCTGGTGATGGCAAGAGAGTCAAGTGAGTCCTGAGTGCATGGGCCCCACGGGGTGCCTGGGGCTGGAGGTCACGCGGTGGGGCCGGGCTGGCCCAGGTGCTCTCCAGGCCAGGACTGCGGAGGCTGGGCTCCTCTCTGGCTCCCAGAGCTGCTGGGCCCCCTTCACACCTTCTCCTGAAGACCCAGCACCCCTGCCCAGAACCCCAGGCCAGCCATGGTGAGTGACCGGGGCCAGAGTCCCAGTGCAGACGAGCCCTTCTGCGGTCCTGGAGCGTGGCCACACCAGCTCCACGTGCCGGGCTGTGGCCAGAGCCGTGGCATCGGCCCCGCCCGGCCCCGGCCCAGCCCCTTGAGTGCGAGGTGGCGTTGCGTAAAGGCCTCTTTATCTGCACCATGTAGAGTCGTTGGTCACGCTGTGGTGCTGCGCGCCGCTGCCGGCACGCGGTTATTATCCATTACCCGCCCGGCGCAGTCGTTGGCGCACTCCCAGGCCTGGTATAATTGTCCTTCTCGGCTACAAATTGCCTCTCCCGGCAGGCCCATTTGCATAAATCCTCGAGCTCCTCCAAACACGATTGGCGCGGCGTGTGCGCACTGCATCAAGCCTGATGATTTGGTAATAATAGTTAAATCGGCACTAAATGGTTCCTTCAATTAAGACAGAGGCAAAAAATTAATCTCAGGGCTTTATGTCACAAAACATTAGCAAATGCGGAGAAGGTTACAAGGAGGGGAGAGCCCGGCTGGCTGCGGGCGGGGGAAGGGACGCGCCATGTGGCTGGGGGGCTTCCCCGGGCAGTCCCTCCGCCCTGCCCAGGTGTCACCCGACAGGGGCTCCCCACTTTGAGGACCAGCCAGCACACGGGGAGGGGCTGACGGCTAAAGCCAGGGCCGGGCAGGGTCCTGCGGGAGGGCCCAGGTGAGGCTGCCCTTCTCCCCTCGAGCCCACCTCCCACCAAGCCCCGTCCTGGTGCTTGCGTGGTGGCCACTTCCTCCACTGACCTGAGAACCCAGGCCCTGGCTAGACTGGGAAGGAGGCCGAGTCCAGGGCCCTCCTTTCCTAAGGGTCAGGGCTCCCTCCCACCACCTCCCCATCCCGGGCTCCCACCCTCTCTCCACCCCTCCGTGAGGCCCCTACCCTGCGGTGGCTGCCCTGCCGACAGTTGGACCCAGGCAGGAAGTGGGAGGCCCGGGGGGCCCAGCGTGGCCATGGGACGGCTTCCTGCCTGGCCTCTCTGGGCAGGAAGGTGAAAGTTCTGGCCGCAAAGGCCAGGGCCCAGGGCCCTCAGCCTCCATCTGTGACTCATTTTCATTAATACTACGCCAGTAGGGGAGGGGGCAGGTGAGAGGCCCAGCCCCCAGCCCCAGTTTGGCAAACGCCAGGCAGCCAAGCTCACAGCCTCACACTTGTGGGCCTCATGGGCCCAGGGACACTGAGTCAGCAGTTCCCCTGGCCCCATGTGGGAGCTGGGTGGCGGGGCACAGCAGAATCCCCCATCTGAGACCCAGAACTGAGGGCAGAGGACGAAGCTCTGAGGGGTCTGAGCCCAGCAGTTGGGGTCCCTGGGGGCCCAGAGGCAGAACCTGGCCAGGTCCCTCTGGCCACTGACCCGTCAGCCTCTTGCTGGCAGCGGCAGAGATGCTGGGAGTGGGCCCCGTGCTCAGGAGCCCCTGTTCCCAACGGCAGCAACCACTGGCCTTCGTACTCACGAAGGGCCAGGCCTGGGGCCTGCGTGTTCCCGCCCCGGCCCTGCAGAGGCACAGTTACCTTCCCCGCTTTCCAGGTAGACGGGGGCACACAGTGGCCCAGCCGGCCGCAGGGCCCTGGCCTGGCCCTCTCTCCCCCAGTCAGTGGGCCCAGGGTGCTCAGCGCTGGCTTGGCCTCCACGCCCCCAGCAGCTCTCATGTGCTCCGAGGAGCCTGGCAGGGCCCTTGCAGGATAAGGGGGTCTCCCAGACACTCAGCCACACCTCATGACCCAGGGACTGTTGGGGGGCGAGGCCCAGGTGCCCATGTGTGCCTGCACCTGGCCTGTGCCCACCTGCACCCCGTGCCCCAGGGCGGTGCGCTCCAGCCTTGGCCTGCTGTGCGCCGAGCTGCGGGGTGCCGCTGACGAGCCCGCGAAGAAGCGAGGCCGGCTGGAGAAGGGCGCCTACGTGGGCCTGCAGCCCGCCTCTGCGGTGAGTCCCATGGCAGCCTCGCCCTCGGGCACCGGTAGTGGGGAGGCCACGGGCCTCAGGCCCTGGCTCTGGCTGAGGGTCCCGTGAGTGCAGCCGCCACCTGCCCATTCACAGGAGAAGGTTCGGAGCAAGAAGAGCAGCGGCCGGGGTGACGTGGCATCCGTGGTGGCCCACAAGGTGGCCCGGCTGACACCAGAGGGCGAGAGCAAGGCGCTGCCGGCCAGCCTCAGCCCCTTCCGGCGGAAGGAGGCCACCCCTGGGGGGCGCCTCCGGAAGAAGCTGTCTCGAGCCAAGAGCACCAGGGTGTCGGGGGCCGCCCGGCACCCACAGCCCGACGGCAGCAGGGAGACCCCGACGTTCCCGGCCCCGCAGGCAGGGGCCACGGCACATGACGCAGGCAAGCGGTTGCTCCGGGCAGCACAGCCAGGACCCCTGTGGTCACTGGGGCTCACCTGGGCAGGGCTCAGGGAGGGCCCTGACCCGGGAGGCCACAGGGAGGAAAGAGGCCGCTGGATAAGTCCTGGGAAAGGGGGAAAAAATAGCCCTTCTGTGTGCGCCAGCCCGTCTTCCTGCAGCTTCCGGCCGGGCTGGCCCGGAGGGGTTATCTGGCCCCCAGCAAACAGCACATCCAGAAAAAGGAGCCTGGAAATAGATGCTTCCTCCCTGCCAGACCCTGCCCCTCCCCCAGGCCTGGGCTGGCCTGAGGAGGAACAAAGGAAGGGAAGAGGAAGCAGAGGGCAGGAGGGCGCCTGGCAGGAGCACGAGGAGGGGAGGGGGACCCCCCAGCCCTGCGAAGTGTGCGCCCCCCTGCCCAGAGCAGCAGAAAGGAAAATGGGCTGAATGAGGGAGGTTCAGGAGGGGTGCCCCTTCCCCATTCTGCTCATTCTGGTCCAAACACCCTCACCTGGCCCAGGTGTCTGCCCTTGAATCAGCCCCCAGAAGACAGTGGTTAGGCTCTATTCTGCCCCCAGGAAATCCGCATATGCAGTCAGCTTCCTGCCCCCACCCCAAAATGCTGCTCCAACGACACCGAGTCACCTGGACCCTCGGCTCCCCCCAGGCAGCGGCTCTGACAGTGACAACTGTGAGGGTCTGTTGGAGACAGAGGCTCCCCTCAAGGAGCCGGGCCTGGCGCTGCACGCTGGGGCCCGCGTGGCTGTGCTGGGGCCCTCACCTTCCTCCGTGGTCAAGATGGAGGCCAACCAGAAGGCCAAGAAGAAGAAGGAGAGGCAGGGCTTGCTAGGTACGCAGGGGGCGAGTGCGGGCTGGGGTAGGCCTGGCCGGTGAGGACCCCGGCAGGCAGCGGGGGGCCCCTGCAATGGCCTCCCTCCCTCCCTCCCTCCCACAGGTGCCTGCCGCCTGTCCAGCCCCGAGAGTGAGGTCAAGGTCAAGCGGCGGACGGTGAAGGCCAA